CTGGCAATAATTAGTGATGTTGAATATCTTTTCATGTACTTATTCATCACTGGTATATCTTCCTGGGAGAAATTTCTGTTTAAGTCTTTTGCCCATTTTTAAATGTAGTTTTTTGTTGTTGTTGTTGTTGTTGTTGTTGTTGTTGAGTTGCAGAAGTTCTTTATATAATCTGGATATTAACCCTCAACCCTTCTAATACATCTTTAAGTATCTCCTAAGCTTGACACCCTGGGCATGCCGAGTCCACAAAGCAGTGGTTCTCAACCCTAAGGGAACATCAGAATCACTAAGTTTGTTCTTCATTTTTTTTTCCCCGAGATAGGGTCTCGCTCTTTTGCCCAGGCTGGAGTGCAGTGGCGAGAACACAGTTCACTATAGCCTTGAACCCTCAGCCTCAAGCAATCCTCCCATCTCAGCCTCCTGAGTAGCTGGGACTACAGGTGCACGCCACTATGCCCAGCTAATTTTTTTCTTTTTTTTCATGAGGGAGCTTAAAAATACACTGATGCCCAGGTCCTTGGCAGCTGGATTAATTGTTCTGGGGTGGGTATGAGGCACCAGTATCTTTAGAAACCTCCTCCAGGTGGTTTCCAAGGTGCATCCAGAGTTGGAAACCACTGCTACAAAGGCTTGCCTCTTGGGAGGTGCTGCCCTCCACCACCTGCTGCTGTGAAAGTGAGAGGGGACTTGTGGCAAGGCAGGACTAGGGCTGGAGGGCCCAATCCCGGTGAGAAGCCCTAAGATGTCAGGGTGGCAGTAAAGTAGCAGGAAAGGCAGCCCCACCCCAATTCTGTCACACAGCCCCACTCGTTTTCACCAACCCCATCAGGAATGACACCAAGACATATTAGGAGGAAATAACCAACCACTGCTCCCACAGAAGGCAGAGGAGGGAGGAGCAGAGAGGAGCCCTAGCACTACCCAGAAGCCCAATAGGTGTTGGGAGCCCTGGTCCGCGCCAGCTCGGCCACAGACTCCCTGTGCCTTCCGGGAGGTCACCTTGCTTTCCTGAGCCTGAGTGTTCCCCTGGAAGAGAGGAGACCAGGCTAGTGCAGTGGTTCTCAACCCTGACTGCACCTTAGATTCACCTACGGAACACTTAAAAATACTGACCCCTCAGGCCCCATCCAGAGATTCTGATTCCATTTGTTCTAGGTGGGGTCTGGGCACTGCCATTTGGAAAAGCTCACAGATGATTCTTATGTGCAGCCAGTGTTGAGAACCCTGTTCTAGTGGATCATCAAGAACCATCCTGTGGTTCTCCTGCCCCCATAGCTGGGGTGATGGTCATGGCCTGAGCACTCACGAGGTACTTAGCCATCACACATAGTCCCTGTTTCACACAGCCTGCGAGAGTGCTGACTTGGTGCTCTCTGCAAATGCTAAGAGGATCAGTTCTCTTATAGGAATTGAAGAGGAATTGATTCCAACCTCCTGACACCAGATGAGACCATTCTGTCCTATTCCACAACCCCCAGAGGAACATTTTATTCTCAATCTAGTTGTGCATAACTTATAAGGTAAAGCACCCACTGGAGACAAATTACTGCTGAGAGAAGAAAAGGTGGTTTGCCAGCAGGCAGCCAGCTGGAATAAGAGAAGGAACAGCTTATTGGGTCTTAGCTAAGGCCAACATTCTGGGCAGACCCCAGAGAGAGAGGGAAAGGGTTTTGAGGCTGGGCCATGTGCATGACTGCACGTACTTTTAAATGGGGTCTAGTTAAGGGCATAAGGAATGCTCCATGGAGAATGCAGAGTTAGGTCCCTTTTTTTTTTTTTTTTTTGAGACAGGGTTTTACTCTGTCACCCAGGCTGCAGCACAGTGGTGTGATCATGGTTCACTGCAGCCTCAGCCTCCTGGGATCGGGTGATCCTCCCACCTCAGCCTCCCGAGTAGCTGGGACTATATAGGTGCACACTACCCACCTGGCTAATTTTTAAATTTTTTGTAGAGACAGGGTTTCACCATGTTGCCCAGGCTGGTCTCAAACTCCAGAGCCTGGGCAATCCACCTGCTTCAGTCTCCCAAAGTGCTGGGATTATAGGAGTGAGCTACCGTGCCTGGCCGACTTAGGTCCTTGACTACCGGGAGTTGAGGACCTCTGTATTCAGAGCTCACATGGGTGAGAAGATAGTAAGACCTCACAAGTTGCCATTTGAAGGCTCAGCATAACTAGCCTAACCTAGGGGAAACAGGAACCAACCTGGAAATGAAAAGAGCTAGGGAAATGGTTGATAGGCACTGCTGGTACCTTTAAGAAGCTATGCTGGTTGGCAGAGTTAACTGGAAAGTTCTATGACAGCCTCCCTCCCAGTTTTGTCTCTTGCCTCTATTTTCCATTCCTGGTCTGCAGCTCCTATTTTTAGTTAAATCTCCACTAATCTGTCCTATAGTAGAGAGAACCCCCAGTCCTGTGCAGTTCTTACCCTGAATGCTTCCACCTCCCGCCTCGGGATCACAGATTGACTCTGACACTGCTCTCTGATTTTCCACCTTGGCTTTGCTCCTGCCAAGTTGCACATGTGGCAGCCCCAGCAGGGAGGGAGTACACATTTCACCCAGCCTCGGGCTAGGAGGCCAGGTCTAGGTCAGGAAGTCTCATCTTCCCTTGAAGCTGAGTCCCTCCTGATGAAAACAACCCACACTTGGGGATCCAAGGAACGTTAGCCTTTTGCCACAAATGAATTGCTGTGCTTGGTTTCCTCTCTGCAGATGGGTCTCTCAGCTGGACTTGTGGGAGTGTTTAGTTATTTTGCTGGATAATCTATGGCAAATAATATAATAGCAAAAACTTATCATGACAACTAAGGTGCATTGAATGCCAGGCACTGATGTGTTTTGTCTCCGTTACCTCATTTTACCCTCACAATAATCTACCTTCTGTGTACCCTGTTCTCTTGGTTAGACCTCAAGTGGAACCAGATTCCTCAGTTTTCTTGATTTTCCTCTTGTGCCTGCAATTTCAAATTCCCAAACAACGTCCTGACATAGTCCCTCCTTAGTCCTCAGAGGACAGAGGGGAAAGCAGGCAATGACTAAATTGGGAGTGGAGAGCGCGAGGAGAATCAGGGCGGCGATTTTAGCTGACATTTTTCTCCTGGTGGGAAAAACCTGGCAGGCTGGATGCAGCACAAACAATGCAGCCTGCTGCTGCCATCTAGTGGAGGAAAGGAAGTCAGGCTTTGGAGGTAGACCAGATGGCACTCCAGACACCAGAGCGTTTTAAACATGTTCTCAGTTCACAGCAATTATCAGGAAGCCTGCAGCAGGTCTCCATGCTGACCCTCATCCCCATCTTCCTCTCCTAGAAATATCTAGCACACGTCTGCATAGAAGGCATCTCTGCTGCTGATGATCTGGCCAGTCACAAAAATAAGCCCAGAACTACAGCCTGTCTTTGGCTTCCCCAGTGTAAAATGCTTGGCTGCAAGGCCTCTGCCACTTGGACTTCACAAGTCAGTGGATCTCAAACTCAAATGTGCATCAGAGCCACCTGGAGGGCTTGTTAAAACACAGACTGTTGGGACCTACCAGTTCTGGAGGAGTGGGGGTTCTGATCATTTGTGTTTCTTTCTTTTTTTAAAATCAAATGAAAAAAAAACTTTTTTGAGGCAGGACCTTGCTCTGTCACCCAGGCTGGAGTGCAGTGGTGCAAGCATGGTTTACTGCAGTCTTGTCCTCCCAGGCTCAAGTGATCCTCCTACCCCAGCCCCCAACTGAGTAGCTGGGACTACAGGCGTGCGCCACCATGCCTGGCTAAATTTTTTTATTTTTGTAGAGATGGGGGTCTCACTATGTTGCCCAGGCTGGTCTCAAACTCCTGGCCTCAAGCCAGCCTCCCAAAGGGTTGGGATTACAGGTGTGAGCCACTGTACCTGGATTTTTCCTTTAACTTTGATTTTTTATTTTTAGAGGTGGGGTCTTGCTGTCAGCCAGGTTGGAGTGCAGCAGTGCAATCATAGCTCACTGCAGCTCAAACTCCTGGGCTCAACTGATCCTCCTGCCTCACCGTGCCCCGAGTAGTTGGGACTACAAGTGCACACTACCTTGCCCAGCTAATTTTTTTAATTTTTTTTTTTTTTTTTTTGAGACAGTCTCACTCTGTTGCCCAGGCTGGAGTGCAGTACACAATCTTGGCTCACTGGAACCTCACTGCAACCTCAGCCTCTCGGGTTCAAGTGATTCTCCTGCCTCAGCCTCCCAAGTTGCTGGGACTAGAGGCGTGTGCCATCTTGCATTTTTGAATTTTTGTAGAGACAGGGTCTCACTATGTTGCCCAGGCTGGCACCTGCATTTCTAACAGGTTCCCAGGGCATGCTGATATTACTAATCCAGAGACCACCCCTAAAGAACCACTGTCATGAGGGGTTTAGTCTCCCTGGCATGAGAAAAAGTGAGTAAACAGGCATGTGAAGGGAACACAGAGCTTACATACAATAAAAGCCAAGGCTAGAATACTTTATCTGTTGAAGGCACATAAAGGAGTCATGGACCTCAAACCCTGGCCGGGCTGAGGGCAGGATCAGATCTGACTCAGCTGTGGCTCCTCCCTGGGTGTGCCTGGTGTCTCCAGGTCAGCATGAGAGTACTTGGTGAGGGGTCAGAGAGCCAGAAGTTGCTGTGGAGGGGAGTGGGTCAGTGGAGAAAGGATGAGTCTAAGCCATATTTGGCCAAAGGTAGAAGAGGACTTTTCCGAATGTAGTGTGATACGATGAGAAAACCGGAAGAGATCTTAGACGTTACTTAATTCAACCTTCATTTCTAAGATGAAACTGACTCACGAAGGCTAAATGACCTTCCCAAAGTCACACACAGTTACTTGGTAGCTCTTCCTCTCCAAGTTCCCAACCCATTCACTTCACAATCAGCTCCCAAAGAAACCCCACAGGGTCAAAATGGGTCCATGAGACAGGTCGCTTCCATGGTGGTCTTCAGCTAGAGTCAGGCCAGCGCTCGTGGCCTCCTTGGTCTGTGCCTCCCACCCACTCTGTTCTCCTACCTTTCACCAAGGGGAAGAAGCAGTCCATCTCCACGCTGCTTCGGGAGTGTGAGATGCACAGGGCGCTGCTGGGGACCAGGCCCTCCAGGGGCGGGCTCCGTTCTGTGGTGCGGACCAGACACCAACCAGGCCGCTCGCTGGGCCGCTCCAGCAGCTCCACCGTCTGCCCCACCTGGATGGTCAGCTCGCTGCTGTGGCCCGCACTGAAGTCCTGGAGGACTACTGTCAGCTCACATCCGCCAGAGAGCTTTGGTGGGTGGTGGTGGAGGGAGTAGAACAGGAGGGCAGGAGGAGGAAGGGGGAGAAATACGAGAGGGTTGGTGAGAGGGGACAAAGAATGTGTGAGACCAGAGGTAAGGAGGAAGAGAAGGCGGAAAAAGGGGAAAAATGGTGTTTACGGCGGAGAGACGGCAGAAGATGAAAAGGAGAGTTGAGAACAGGAAAGAAAACAAGAAAAAAATGTAATTAGCACAGTGCTATATTCAATCACTCAGGCTTTCTAGCTGTAGCCACAGTCTGAAGCCTGCCCAGAACCAGGGCTTTGATTCTAATTCCTCTTGCTTCGTTAGAGCTCATTATTCCTTTGCCAAGCTTCAGCTAATTGTGCCATTAAACCCCTTCCCTGTATGCCCCTTTACTCCTTCCAAGGGTTTTACCCTGTGCTCTGTCCCTGCCCTGACTACGACCCTCAGACTCCTATTGTATGGGCATCTATTCTAACTCACCCCTCCCACTAGATTCTCACTAGATGATAGGGGATAATGGAAGAGACAACCTTCCTTCCTTCTAACCCCTGCAACACCTCCCATCCCCACCTCTTACTGGAGCCATCAGCCTAAAATTGAGGCTACGAGGACTACAAAAAGAATGAGGCTTCATTCTTTTAGGGCAACATAGTTGAGTCCAGGGATGAGTGTAGTCCTTTTGCAGACTGTTAGAGCAGAAGGGGCCTGAAACTCTAGTCACAAACAGCCCAGCATGGCACCCAGATACAAGACCCACTGCCCCCTGGGGCGGGTTACAATCAGACCCATTGGCTGGACAGAAGAGGGTAAAAAGCCAAGCTTGTGTCTCTACAATTCAAGATACAGTTCCTGGCGAGAAGCCTGGATACGCCACTAGATGGCGGTATTTGCCTTCTGTAGGCTGCCTAGTCCAGACAAAGGAAGAAGCGGAAACAAGATCAATGGGCAATTTCTTCCACGCTCACACGTTATAGATAACCGGGCTCAAGCTTTACATGCAGCCCAAAAGCCATTATGGTTCAAATACAGGATGAATATCCTGGTTCACTTCACCTCAATGGCTTGATCAAAAAGATTTACTATACCAGGTCCCTACGCCAGCAAGAAGTGAATTCCAAAGAATGGCCAACAAGGGAGGGTGCTGGGGAAATGGTTTGAGGGGTCAGGCAGAGCTGCTCCTGCAACAGTCCCTTCTCATCCTCTCCTCCAGGGAAGCTGTAGGGTGAGATTCTAAGACCAACGTTATTCCTGCTCAGAAGATGCTGGGAGCTGAGTAGGCAGCACAGAATCTCAGCATGCATTCTGGTTAGGTTTTTGATTCTTCTCTGATCTTGTACCCCTGCTTCTGGAATCTTCTCTCATCTTATTCCCCTCACTGTATTCTCCCACTCCAGCAGCAAGTCCCTATCTGGCCTTTCATGCCTGAGTCTTGGCCCCCTTCCCGGGAGCTCTCAGATATTTTCTCTGCCTAGTTCCCTAGAACGCTGCCTAAGGCCTGCTAAGCCTTCTTGATGCTAATTGTCTGCCTGGCTTCCCTCCCAAGTGCCTGCTGCTGAGTCACCATCCAACTCCCTGTCCTTACTTTCCCAGTCTCTCTTCTTTCTGGGTCCTCGCCATTTCCAGTGGGGCCTGTGCCCCTGCTGACCAATCCCTGGGTGGACGTGGCCTCCCCGCCCTCCGCAGTGCTTCCCAGAGGGGCAGAAGGAGCTCCTCCTGTCCTCACTTTCCTTCGGCTCCGCAGTGATAGCTGTGTTGGCTTCTTTCCAGCATGAACTGCTACATACACAGGGGACATTTCGTAACCACTCTTTGTAACTCCATCTGCATTTTCAAAGTTCTCACTCGCATTCACCAGAAATGATCACTTTCATTTATGTCTATTTTTACATGATTAATATTTGGAGATTAACTGAACCTCCTTCTTGTATAAACTGTGTGAGCTAGATTGTCCCTGTGAGCTTCCCCACGTTATGGAAAAGACACAGTTATTATTCCCTGATGGTTTCCCAATGGCATCCAGAGAGTGAGGACAGGACCCCTGAAGAATTCTCCTGTTGTCATTTCAGAGCTTCCATTTGTGCACCTCTGTGTCTCTGCTCCATTCTCCAAGGTAGCAGAGCCTCATTTAGGGCATGGGCTCTGCAGCTTCTCACCAGCTGTGTGACCAGGAGCAAGTTACTTCACCTCTTTGTCTCAATTTCTTCATCTGTCAAATGGGGATAATGACAGTACCTACTTCATAGCTTGTTGTGAAGATTAAATGAGATAATATTAAAGCACCTAGGATAGTGCCTTAAGCAGAGAGAGCTAAGTGATTGTCTAAAAAATAAGTTCTGGGCCAGGTGCAGTGGCTCGAGCTTGTAATCCCAGCATTTTGGGAGGCCAAGTGGGGTGGATCACTTGAGGTCAGGAGTTCCAGACCAACCTGGCCAACATGGTGAAAGCCTGTCTCTACTAAAATTACAAAAAAGTAGCCGGGTGCGGTGGGGCATGCCTGTAGTCCCAACTACTTGGGAGGCCGAGGCAGGAGAACCGCGCAAACCTGGAAGTAGAGGTTGCAGTGAGCCGAGATCATGCCACTGCACTCCAGCCTGGGTGTCACTGTGAGACTCCATCTCAAAAAAAAAAGTTCTGGAGGTATTAGTGAATTATTATTTAAATTTGGGAGGAAAGGAGTACAGAAGAAATTTTAAACATCAATTTTGATGGCATGTTGTTTGGTAACAGACTGTATCAACTGTATACATGCACATACATTATTATGTAAATGAATCTTTTTTTTTTTTCTTAAAGTCATCTTCATGGAGTTTTGCCCTAACTAGAGGCTCACTAGGGAAGGTGACTCAGACCTCCCTCAGATCAGCACATACTTTTCCTGTTATAATAAAAACAAAGGAATGGTGGGACCGAGGATTCCCTTATGCAACATGAGGATTCACTCTTGCCTCTTCATTCCACATTGCTTTCCAGGAAGCTTCCCTGTGAAGAAACCCCCTTACCCCAGAGTCTGATACGTGCCCTCAATACTTGCCAAATGAGCCTTCTGGTAACTGTGAATACTGACTTCTGACACTGCTTTGCAGAGCACTTGGATCTGATACTCTTGACAGAGGGGGAGCTGTGCCCAAGAGCGCCCATCAGGTAAGTCTGACCTCCTCCTCCTCCCCTGGCTGCCCGCCCGCCCGCCAACTTCTTCCATCTGATCATCTGATTCCTCCACAACTCTTAGCCAGCCCGAGGCACCAAGTTCACATAAATTAACATCTACATATGAACAGCCTCACAGGCAGCCAGAGCTGGCTGGCAAAAAATATAAAGCTGTAGCATATCTACTTGGCACGGTTTCAAGGGCACTGTGAGGTCCTGCCAACTCCTGTGCAAAAACTGTCTTTCTCTCCTCCCCCTAACACTCCCTGCACCTGTTGCTAATGCCTGGCATTTCTTCATCAGAAAGTGATTTCATCTAATTAGGTAATGTCCCTTACCATGAAACACCTCAAAGCAGAGTATAATGATTCCTTTCCAAATGCAAAAAGATGAGATGCACCACACGAGTTACTTTAAGCATGAAAATGCTCATAATAGCATTTTTTCAAATGAGGAAAATTTTACAATAACATCACCCCCCTCCAATACTAAAATATAAAAATCTAACCAGTGGGAAGTGGGTGAGGGTTAAAAAGTTACCTATTTGGTACTATGCTCACTATCTGGGTGACGGGATCATTTGTACCCAAAACCTCAGCATCACACAATATACCTAGGTGACAAAACTGCATGTGTAACCCTTGAATCTAACATAGAAGTTGAAATTATTTTAAAAACCTAACAGGAAGGGAATTAAAAACCTAAAAGGAAGGGAATTACTCACTAAGTGAGTAATTGTGCAGCCATTATTTATAAAACTTTGTAATAGCTTAAAGACTACTTACATAAAGTAAAAAAAAATTTAAAGGACAAGATGTACAGTTGTATATATAACTGTGTGAGCATCATCAACAACTTAGCAACCCTATACACAGGAAACAAACAGAAAGAAAACTGGTGGAAATGTTAACACTGGTATTGTTAGGTGGTGCACTCTGGGTAATTTTCCCTCCGGCTTTCTAATCTCCAGTATTGCCCAGTGTTTCTCACATAAGTGCTGTTTTATAATGAAAGTAATGATAACATCAACAATAACAACCTCTAAAACAAATCAACAAAGGTAATGGGAAAAATGCAAATATTTCAAGGAGGCATAATGGTTTGAGGGGAAAAATGGGACAGCGATGGGCAGTTTCCAGTTTTGCTCTAGGGCCACTATAGAAGCTTCAGGAAAGCCCCAAATTGCTGATGATGCTTTAGCATAGCTGCTTCAAATCCTTCCTCTACTAAACCTCTGTCCCCGCCCTGCTATAAAACTCTGAAGGGCTCTCCAGAAACTAGGTTCCTTTAAAAGAGCTTAGTGCTGTGCTTTTATCTTGAATTGATTATAATTTTTTTAGCAAATGTGTAAAACATTGTCTGGGCATTTAGGAACATTGTCGTGGAGCTCTGGGATTACATCAATTTGTATATTGGAAGTCCATGGAGCTGCCAGGTCCAATTAAGAGGCTAAAGCTTACAATTTACTTTATTTTTGCTCGCTGGAACTGTGGCTTCTACTAAGTGCAACTGAAGGAGCTATTTGGTTTAGCTGTTTCCCATGGTGCGTAAATGAGCACCGTGGTCTCCTGGTCTTGTAGGTCTTGTGAACTGCATAGTAATTAATAGTGGGAAGAATGCAGGAGTGGGAATCAGGAGGCCTTGGTGCTGGTGCAGGTTTTATCCATGTATGACACTCAGCAAGCCCCTTCCCTTCTTCATACCTAAATTTCCTCACATTTAAGATGAGGAAATTGTACTCCAGGGCCACTTCCAGTTTTAATAATTGATAAATAGAGTAGTTTCTCTATTGACTCTCTGACACAGTGCGATTGAATTTTCTTGAGCACTTACCATTAATGTGTTGCCTTGTTTA